GGGGGCGCCGGCCCCGAGGACTGCCCCCGCCCCACCCGCCCGGGGGGCGCGCCAGGCCCGCGGGGGCCCTAGGACCCGGCCTAGGACTCGCTGCGGAGGCTGGCGCCCAGCACTCATGGCCACATGGTCACATCCTGGTCACCATGCGGTCGGGCGGGTCGCGCTGGTCACACTGGCACAGGCGCGGGTCCCGTCTCGCCCGCTGGTCACTGCGGTCACGACGCAATCCCCTCTCGAACTCCAGGACGCCGTCGACGAGGGCTGGTCACATGCGCCCCTGGGGTGGTCCACTCCACGGCGGGCGGCCGGGCCGCGGGGGCCGGTTGACGGGGACCGCGTCACTCACGCTCGGAGCACTCCCGGGCGGCCAGCCTTGTGGTCGGCGAGTACTGAGCACCGTGCTGACGGGCTGGATGCGCGCACCAGACTGAGCGGAGAGGGGGAGCTGGGGCTGGACCAGGCCCCGCTTAGCCCCGCTCCAGCCCGTCCAGCGCGGGGCCTTACTCTATCCAGCTCCAGTCTCCAGCAGCTGGGGTGGGGGGAAGAGGCCCAAACAAGTACTCTTGTCAAGTACTGGAAACCCCAGCAGAACCAATGCTATTCTCCAAAATGAAGGACACATGCAAAACATAGTCAGGGCTCTTTAAGGGGAGACCCTACTGAAAAATTGCTGCTTCTGGCCGCAGTGTAACAAAAAGAGTTTGTGGTAGATTTGCAAACGTTAGATGAATGTAAACCAAATAACACTTCCTGTTGTCTTTGTACACGATTTGCAACATGCTCAGACCAGTTTTTACTTCCATGGAGACATGAGTAAAACCTCTTCAAGAGAGTAGTATTTCTTTTGACTTTGAAATGTCCCATGCAGGAGTTCACCAACATCTTTGTTGATTATCTGACCACAAATCTTGGCATCGGCTTTGTAATCAGGCTAGTGGTTCCTCTGTAATCACTAAAAAAGATGTGAAAAATTTGCAAATTTATACCGTTTTGAAATTTATGCACTTTGGAGCACAGAACTACTTTAAGTAAATTGTTTTCCATGCCAACTTTTGTCAAGCACCGTTTAAACTCTCAAAAGATCGTAAGTACATAATTTTAGGACCAATGTTATCCAGCATGGAATGTTTTTCCCAAGCAGTGTTTTTCATCAAAAAATTTGATTTCTTACTTAAAAACAAAATTGTATAGTTTGACCATGTCAGTCAGTCATTGATTCTTACCCTCTTTACCACACTACAAAATATAATGTGCCCAAAATTATCCTTTCCGTCAAATTAGCATTTTCAGTAGGGTCTTCCCTTAACTTATTATACTTAACTGCCTTCAACATTATTTTAAGAATTAAAGTGATAACTTGAAACTTTCACAGTAGTTCTTTGAAAATAAGTTAGTAATTTGACTTGTGCAACTTTTTCTAGACTGTGTATGACTAATATCGGACATATTCCAAATTGATAACTTTAACTTTAAATTTGACATGTGTTTTGAAATGTTAAGTAACCAACATTTGTTTATGTTATGATAAGTTACGGAGCCCTGAACATTAGTGACAAACTTTAAAATTATCCATTAATTTTTCATTCAGTTGAAAGCAAACAGCTTCAACAAACTACAAGAGTAAAGTATGATATTGTAGAAACCTGACAATTTTTTTTTTAACTTTACTTAATGTAGGGTTCGGCATAAATGAACTCACTCCATGGCAAGATTTCAGGTAAAAACAGACCTAGTAATCATAATCTTGAGATTATAAACTTTAACAGAGAGAACAGACTTGAAGTTTCAAAATGCTGACAATAATCAGATGAATCAGATCATGTTTAAATCAAAACAACTTCACTTATATAAAAACATTTATTGAACACAAGTTGCATCGACTACTTAGTAATCATGGCACTTCTGAACTCAGCATTTCATGGTTTGACTGAGTGGTATACAAAAAATATGCAATCAAACAGAATAAATAAGTAACGGCCACAAGTCTTTCAGTAATATATACCCTATTTTACTTGAGTAAGTGCAATAACCACTTACACTTACAAAATGATCATAGGTTTAAAATGCAGTTTGAAGAATTCTTTAAAAATTATCTTCAAGGGTGCATGCAGCTCTTTTCAAATGACTCTCTTCCTTAAAAATTAAACAGTAGACATTACAAAAAAGTGAAAGTGATATTTTGATTTGTTAGGACTTCAACAATAAAAATTCAGTTGGAAATAAGAAAAGGCACAGGAATGTACAGTTCAGAGTAGGAGAGAAAAATCATAGATCAGACAAAGTTAAAATTTTTGCTAGGCCTACACATGGGCATAGGTTGTTCTAAACATCAAGTTGGTACTTAGATAGCTTAAGACACTAATGCAGAAGTCAGTCAAATGGAAAAATTAAACAGTAATAGATGACACAAATAATGGACCTCTTGAATTTATACAAGATAAGATGACGCAGTAGGTGGTCGTATATGAAATCACAGGAAGTAAGTCTGCTGACAAAAAAAATTAAATCAATTAATGTTCAGAAGTGTGATAAGGTAAACATAGCTGATAATTACTTGGACCAGACTTACAAGAAAATTCGCCTCATCATTTGTTCTTCAGGGGTACAATGCGAACTTTGTTGGATTTTTCATCACCATGGATTGTAAGACCAAGATCATGAAGCATTCGTGAGTCAATTGTGCCTTCACGATTCATAGCTGCTATAACACACTGATTTTCCTTGTTGTTCTCACATAAATTTCTTATAGCTAATACAACCCACTGTATCATTACTGGAAAATTTTGTTAAGAATTGATACACTAGCACCTTAAAAAAAAAAAACTTAATTGGTAGAGCATGCATACAAATACTTTCGTACTGTCAAGAAGAATAAGTAAAGAAAGGATACAAGGATTTCTGGCATCAATGGAGCAACAATCCAAAAGCAGAGGAATACCGTCCAGTTCTCGAACCTAAAATTGAAATGAAGTAGTAAGTCAAAAGTAAAGGTATGATGAAAGAATCAAAAATATTGATTTACTACCTGATCCTGGTTTTCTCGATGACGCCAGCACAAATTACCGAGAAGTCTGACAAGACAGGCTTTAAATCCAAAGGCTGGGTGCTGTTCAATTTTAGATTCTACTCCTTTCTCAGAGAGATTAAGCTCAGAAAGTTTGTGAATTGGAGAAAAATCACTGTCTCCAGCCTGTCCTGCCATATGTATACTCTTCAGAAGAACTAAAAACAGAAAACAAAGTAAGTTTGTCTATAATCTTTTTTCAGAACTCCTTAAACAAGGTAAGTAAACACTGAGATGTACTAACAATTACAATCTATGAGGAGAGATTTATCACTTTGAAGTTCAGTAATATACGGTTCTTTGCTAGATGCACACGCAACAACTTCTATAAGTTTTGAGACTTCTCTGGGTTCCAACGAATCTGCATAATGTGCTGATGTTTTCAAAATCAAAAACGAACGCCTCTTTAGTTGCTCTACCATGAATTTAAGGGTAGGCATAAGTATTCTAAAATAAATACAAAAAATGTTAACATGTCTACATAACAAAAGGTAATGAAAGTAAATAGACTAAAACAAACTGACTTTCTGGTAGGTTCGCTTTTGACACCCTCTTTCTTTTTCTTGTCTTCAACTTTAATGCTCATTTCAGGCATGGAGAGAAGAATATCATGACAAATTTCTAAAAGTCTCAAACGACATTCAATGTCCAAAGATGGATAAGATTCCTCAAACACGTCAGGTGTGGACAAGAACAACTCAGTTGCATACACCCTGTAAATAAAATGCAGTTGAATATTAATTCAAAGAATTAACAGAAAAATTAATTAAAACATGTAGTGATATTAAAATTTCAAAAGAAAAAGGAATGCAAAATACCCAAATTCCGAGTCCATAACAGCAAATTTCAAAAAGGTTGCCAACAAATCAATTCCATATGGCTTGGGTGCACACAGATCAGGATGTCCAAGCAAAATGTTGTACATAACCATAGCAGAAAAATTTTTCAGTTTGACATCTTTTGAAGCCAGCATTTTCCTATTGACATATAATCAAATGGTAGTGTATCTGGTACCCTTTATGAAGATACAAGGTAGAAAGAAAACAAAACAAAGGAAAAGCACACACACTTGTGAACCTTACTTTAGGAGAGATGAAAACTTGTCCCACACAATTAGTTGGTTATCACTGTGGTTCACAATAAGATTACCGAGAAATTGAGTGGCTACTCTTACACAGAGAGCAGAGTTCTCGTCTTCACTATTGAGAAGAAACGTCATGATTTTTAACGAATCAGCTAGAAGTGAAGCATTGGCCGTACAATTTGTTTGGTAATCAGGGTTACCAGCACACCCATTACGCAGAGTACGATAAGACATCAGAATAGTTTCTAAGTCCTCTTCACTGCAGCCTGTGTCCTCACTGAGTGCACCAGCAAGGGTGTGCAAACTTTTAGCTACATTCCCAGGCATCCTGCCTCTAGCCTATCCTGTCAACAAACAAAACAAAACAGTTCGGACATCATATAAGGAATACAACACAAAAATAGAACATGAATACAAGAAATCATCAATTCAGATGCTTGTGTGAGTGAAATAATTACAAAAACAAGGAGAAAAATAAAAGAAACACAAAAACACTCCACCAAAATATGCCCAGGTAGCAGAGCTGCATAAAATGTGCATTTTGTGTCCAATCTAAAAAGCGCCTAAAACGCGTGTAGGCGTCTAATATGCGCGTACATGCGCCTAAAATAAGCGTTTTAGATGGGACATATCATGCGGTTCGAATGCAGTTTGTTTCAGGTTGCTCCCTGGGATACTAAGGGGAAATAACCTCATTCTACATAGGGTCTCATAAAATGCTAAAATGGATACAAAATAAAAATGAAACACGAAAAATGAACTTACTGACAGATAAAGAGACTCAATCTAGATTAAAGTGGCCCCAAAGGCGCAGCCAACAACACTTTTTTTCTTCAAAAGTAAATAAACCTGTTGTGTGTTGTGAACTGTTGACCACCCTCACGTCTGCCGCGCCAGCTGAATCTATGGTAGTCTGCTCTGTTCCTGCTCTGCAACCCAGCTGCAAACTGCAACTGCAAAAGCGTCGCGTTCTCTTGCCAGAGGCAGAAACGGGTAGAGAAGTCGATGGCAAATACAAAACTTTAATAATAA